GCAGTGTCATTGGCCCTCATATGTGGGATCCGAACCGGGGCCCTCTGGCGTCCCAAGCCAGTTCTTAACCATCGCGCCACTTGGCCGGCCCAGAAATTAGTATTTATAGAATCACCCATCTTAAAAATTTTCTTGACACTAATTGAAGAAAACCTAAAAAAGAATTATAAGTTTTCAATAACGATATCATGAGTAACGGGATTTGATCATTTACAGCCTGGAGGAAGTATCGACATAGCTGACTTCTCACAGCTCTGAAGCTGGTGCTGAAGCCAAAAAGCTAAGTGGTGCTTTCCCTTTTTTTACTTGTATGCCCCTACATCTCATCCATTAGCAAATTCAGTTGACTCGCCCTCCAAAACACACCTAGAATGCATCTATTTCTTCCATCCTCACTACAACCACTGTGGCCCCACACGCCATTATTTCAGCATGAACTAATCCAATGGCTTCTTAACTGGTGTCCTGCTGCCACTCTTACCCAGTTACAATCCATTTGCCATATGACCCAAAGTGTGAACTTTTAAAACCCTAGTCAGATAGTTTCACTCTTCTTCTAAAAATTTCTCATTGGCTTCCCATGCTCTCAGCATACATTAAAAACTTCATACCTTGACTTACAAATCTGTGCTTCACAGAGCTCTCATCTGTGTACCCAACTTTATTCCTTATCACCATCTTTTTCACATACGTGCTCATCTCACTGGTCTTCAGTCTTCAAATACATGGGTCCACTTTCTCCTCGGGACCTTTGGATTACCTATCACCCTGCTCAGAACTCTCTTCTTACTCACCTCTACATGTCAATCTTTACTTAAATATCACCTCCTTGGAGAAGTTACATGACCACCCAATTTAACATCATTCTTCAGTCACATTACATGGCTCAGTCTCAATTCTCTCCATAGCACTTAATGCTATCTCAAATTTCACCCCCCCCTCCCCCGCCCCGTTATGGTTGTGTGTGGGATTCCACCCCAAATTACATATTGAAGCCTTAACCCCTAATGTGATGTACAGGGAGATGAGACCTTTGAGATTAAGGTCAGGAAGATGAGTGCCTATGATGGGATTAGTGCCCTTAGAAGAAAAGGGGGAGAGAGCGACAGAGAGAGAGAGAGAGAGAGACAGAGAGAGAGAGAGAGAGAGACAGAGACAGAGAGAGAGAGAGAGAGAGACAGAGACAGAGAGAGACAGAGAGAGATCTCCACATGCAACAACAAAGGACAAGCAATGTGAGAACACAGTGAGAAGGCAGCCATTTTCAAGCCAGAAAAAGAGGTCTCATTAGGAAACTCATTGGCTTGCACCATGATCTTAGACTTTGGTGATCTTGGACTTGCCAGCCTCCAAAACTGTGAGAAACACATTTCTGCTGTTTAAGCCACCTAGTCTATGGTATTTTAATGTGGCAGCCCAAGCTAAGTCCTTCCTTCCCTCCTTCCCTCTCTCCCTCCATCTTATTCTTTCTTCCTTTCTTAATCTTCTAACGATTAAGAAACATGTATTTTTTTTTCCCACCACTGTGTCA